TGCTGCAGGACACAGCCTGCCCAGCTCCCCTGCTGGCCACACAGCTTTTCCTGCCGTGGAAACAGCCCAGCTAATTCTTGAAGGGTGGCTGCTCTCAGATCCCTGGGTGATGGTGATTCTGATGCTAGTACCAAGAGTCTGTAGCTCTGGCTCACTTCACAGTGTTCATCCACTGGCATGTGCTTTCTGCAGCTCACGGATGGGGTTTGTGTCAAGCAAACAGACACAATCTAGTTCCACAAGGATGAAGTGCTGAGAAAAGTGCACTGAGCTCAAATCCATCCACCCTTGCAAAGCAGTAAGAAGCCTCTCAAGGGCAATGGTCTCATCTGTGGGGACCTGTCCTGTCCCAGGAGAGCTCCTGGATAAACCTGAGGGCTGAAGGCCTATTCATCCCTCCGCTTCTCCTCAAATCTCTTCTCCATGTAGGCAAAACTCAAACCAGCGGAGAGCCTTGTGGAAACTGCTGCTTTTTTCTTTCTCTCCTAAGCCCAACGCTGTGTCTTTCTTTATGCTGCGGAGCAGAGACATCATTCCCCACACGCCTAGCGGTGCCACTGCTGCAGGGGGTGGCACTAGCACGTCCATGTACGAGGGAGACAGGAGTGGGCTGAAGCCTTTTTTAGAACAACACGCTATTTCCTTTTTTAGTGCTGACTCACTCCCTGTACCTTGCCGGGTGTTTACCGCGGCTCTCGCTGCCTCAGTGGGTGAGGAAGGAATGTTAATCCGTGGCACACAGCGCTGAGCTCCAGAGCCACGGCGGCAGCCAGCGCTGTGCCCCTGCCTGTCTTTTGGCTTTTTTGTGGGCATTACTTCTCTTCAACTGGCATTCAAAGTTGTTTCAGTCCTGGAAGCTGCAAGTGGCACTTTTGTAGTCATCATTTTAGCACAGCTATCTAGTTCCTATCCATTTTTTCCTGTCACAAAGCTTTGCCCCTTGCTAGTACTCAGAGTGGAATACATCAAAGCCATTGCACTGCACATGGGTGGAACCTTATTAGCCAAAGCAGCTGATGAAGACAGAAGAGATTTCTCAGCTCATTTATCTTTCTCTCAACATATTTGACATTACAATTAAAACGACACAGAAAACAGTAGCAGCCACTATAGCTAGAACTACACCAAAGTGCTCTTCTCTGCTCATGTGACCTGCTTGGGCTGCTCTGCCTGCTGACTGGAGGGCAGAAGTGTTTGGTGCTCAGAAACACATTTGTACCTCAATTTGTCTGTATTCAAAAGAGAAATTAAAGGCCCATATACAGGAACTGGTGCTAATCATTCACAAGACATGATCTGATAAATGCTGCTTGTGTACAGCTAGAAAAGGCTCTTTAGGTGCTAGCTGACCACCTGGTTCACATCTCAGCCCCCAAAATGGGCTTCCCACCCTTCCCCTCTCCCTTCTCACCACCTCCACTGCAGCAGGAGTGATGCAAATCTGACCCAAGCCTTAGATGAGAAAAATAATCACCTATTTCAGTTAATCCCGTTTTCCTCAGCCACCCACTTTAGGACTAGCTGACCACCCGTGCTGGAACGAGGCACACTGACGGAGTCACCTCTGACAGAAGAACACTCCCAGTCCAGGGAGATCCCCCAGCTGCCTGTGGAGGAGCAGGGAGTATGAAGCCCTAAAAGAGGAGCCAGAGCTTGACTCAGAGATGGCCCAGGTTAAAGAAATACCCACTTTCAACTCTAGGACATGACTGAAGCATATAATGTGCAGACACCTTCAAAAACTCTTTTCCTATCTCCTGCTCCCAGTTATCTGAGGGTTTGCTAGCAGCTTTCTTCTTAGAAAGAAAATTCCTTTGTTCACTCTTCAGTTTGGAGGAAAAACCAGCTCAGCAATTATGGTGCAAGACAGAAAGGAAGCCCAGAAACATCAGACAGAAAACAGACTCAAGCACAGGCCTAAGACACTGCCATGCTCTCCCAGTTTGGGACTCTCTGTATCAGAACCCTCCAGTGGAAAACACAAATAGCAATGTTTTGTACAGGTCTTGAAAAAAATAATAATAGGAAGAAATCCAGAGATAGAACAGTGAGTTTGGTACAGTGAATCCTCACAGAACCAGGCAATACAATACAAGCCATATATGCATTATAAATTGAGACTATTAACGTATAAACATATAATTTTTATCATTCTGAGCTATGTTTATGTATTCACATATAAGATCATCAAAAGACTATAATTTCACAGCTTTATGTTGCAAAGAATTAAGACTACATAGCTGAGATCAGTCAGGAGAAATGTCTTTTAACATCATGTACTGTAATACTTTGAGCACAGAGACCCTGTGAAGGGCCTTGGGGTTTTATGCTAATCTCTTCCCGTGTGCACCTCAGGGAAATCTCCTGCTGCATAATCACCTCGGTAATCCCTCGGATTCCACTGCCAGCTCTTCTGGATCAAGGCAGTAAACTCTCCTGGCTACGGATCCTGACATGTTTCTCTACCTTCCTCAGTGGCGGAACCTGATGATTATTTTATCCAACCATTACTCAGTGATGCCTCTTACACTGCTGTAAGAAAAGTTAAATATCCCTCCTTGGGTTTGCAGATAGAATAACTGAAGTGTGCAGTGATTAACAAATTACATTTCCTGGGTCAGAGAGAGAGTTCAGGGCAGAGCTAGTAATGGGACATATCTCTGGTCTTAATGATCACAGTGTGACAGCACAGCATCCTTCAAGGGAGACGTCTCCTCCTGGCAGCGACACGGTGGGGTCAGGAGCGAGCCAGGCACAGCCCGGGGGATATCTGTGACTGACTGACACATCCACATCTGACAGAACACGCGTTTTGTTTTCATATTTTGTAAGGAGAATATTCCTGTTACAGAACTCCTAGTGCTACTGCTTTGGACACAAGGACAAATTCCTCATGGCAGCAACTGAGCATTGGAGTCTTAACAGCTTTCCATTATAGGATCCCTGTGAATAGGGAATGGGTTTTATCCCATTATTAAAGGGGCTTAAACCCAAGATTACTAAGTCTCTGTGCAGCAGAAATTTAAACTCACATCCCTAGATTTTTAGCTGGATGAACCTTCCTAATTACTGAATGAAAATTCCCTTCTGTGGTCATAACCAACTTGCACAAAGCATAAGAAAACGACCCTGCAAAAGAAGTGTTTTTCTGCTCCCTAGGCTTGTCACTGGGCCTGACCTAAAGCTTAGTGACAACCAAGTCAGTCTGTGAGCTCAGGGTTTCACATCCACTTGAGGATGTTGATGTAAGCTGGGAGTGAGAAGGCCAACAGAAAGCAAAGACAAATAAGATGTAAAGAGGGGGAGAAGAAGAAACTAAAACATGATAGAGAACGAAAGCACAAAATCCAGCAGAGGTGCAGAGGCCCCAGAGTTGTCGGTGTAGCAGCCTGTAACAGTAAGGAAAAAGCTAACCATACCTAATCTTCTCTGCCATGTGAGAGCTGCACCTGTGGACACAAGTGGAAGTCTCTGCACATGACACCCTCTCAGCTCTGCCTCGCTGAGCTAGAGCAAAACCTTCCAGGGAAGTGCAGGCTGTTTTACATACATGAGAATGTGCTAGGAGATGGCAAAACACCATAGCTGCCAGCCTGGACTGGAATCCATTTGCATGGTAATGCTGTGAGGGCTGCAGCTTTCTTTTCCCCTGTCTGCAATGAGGAACTGTCCCTGTTTCAGTAGGGAAGTTGGAGCCTGGATGTCTGTGTGTACATGTGAACAGACGTGGCTCTCCCGGTGTGACTCAGTGCTACTGGGTGCCTACAGCCGAGGGGAGAGAGCTCTGCACACAACTATGGTGGCTGTTGCTAATCTGTGTTTGCTGCTTTCTGCAGAGCCCCCAGGAAACGAAAAACGTCCAAACTCGTAAATGTGGAGTGGAGATTTCCACATGTTAACTGTTTAAGTTCTGGAGCAAGAGAAGTTCCTTGAAAAGAAATAGAAGAGAAAGTACTCAGAACAGTGTGGGCTCTGCAGGCTGTACTCAGTAAAAATAACTGAAGGAGTATTTGCATCCCACATGTCTTCCAGTGACAAAGCTAGCTGAAGAAGTTATCCTCCCAGCTAAACCCTCCTTTCTGCTCTGCTCCCACGGCAGGTCTCTGTGCACCCCGATGTGCTACTGTCACCTGCGATGGGATGTGCTGCACCTAAGCCATGTAAATGATGTCAATGCCTAAAAATAGTCTTTTGGAAGCTACTTTTTAAGGCCATGTCACTTGAGGACCCAGATCATTGTGCATCATGATAAACAGCTTCATTAGCATGACTCTGGGGTGGCAAATGGCATCAGGCAGAAGGTACAGAGATTTAAATGTAGGAGAAGGTGGGGAGTTCTTGGTCGCTGCTTGGACAAATAAGTGTACTGAACACCACCACAAGTAGTCTGAGTGTCAGGCCTGAAACAGCTCCCTGAGTACCCAGGTAACTTTTAATAATGATGCTGTTATAGAATGGGCTCAGCTCAATATGCTCTTGGGTGACCCAACAACGACAAGGAAAAGTGTGAGTGATCATCATCACAACAAACAATTGGGCACAGCTGTAACTCCATTCTCCTGTTAGTTACAAAAGCACAGATTAAAAAAAGGGATGGAAGGACACCAAAGGAGGATTCCACACAGCCTGTTTGCAAAACCACTCTGTCACAGATGCGTTTGCAACACTTCTTCTAGCCCCCAGACTGCTGGCAGATCTGCTCCTTGCTTGGTGTCATGCATGGGTTTTATCAAGGTGTTCAGTGTGATCTCCAGAGCTGAAAACACATCCACTGACCTGAAACTAATGCATGTCACACTGGTTTGATAGTTTGCAATCTGTGGTCTATCAACAAAGATAAAAGCTAAGAGTTTTCTCCCTTTCATGGAGTATTTGCATCAGGTGAACCACACAGGAATTCCCTGAGAGCTACATGGACTGCCCTGGTATGTTTTACAGTGAGTATGGCATAAACTGTGATGGTCTTTTCAGTACAAACCTTAAGAAAATCTTCCTCTTACCTGAAGGTAATGGCACGGCCTCAAGGAAGGTTTGATTTCCTGATGAACCAGAGGCTTATCTAAGTTCAGGGATGATTTGCGATAAGCTTCTTTAGCCTGACTTACTGTGAGCGTGGACCAAGAACTCCTTTTCATGTATTTACTATCTGGGGTCATTGGGAGCCCTTCACAAGCTGAGCACTTCACATCATTGTTACTTTTGGAAGTCTTCAATGAGAGATCCCCAAAGTGCCCCTGGAGTGCCTCAGGATAGCAATGGGATATATGATCTGCATGGTGCCTATTGACCACACTAGGGGTTCGGTACGTGCTATCGCTGTCCAAGTTATCATCAGAGCTCCACCAGCTACTCATTCCAGATTTATGCTTGGTTTCTGGCTTTCTCTCCTTACTTTTACTCCTTTTGCCATGCTTGGAATGGTGCCCGTGGTGATGATCGTCCCCTCGGCTGTCTCCCTTTGTTCCATTGACATTGCCCTTGGATGATCCTTCCAGAGAATGAGACTTGGTGAACAGTTTCTGGACGGAATGCACGAGGTGCCGTATCCTCCCCGGGCTCTCGCTGCGCTGCTCCGCAGCGGTTGAGGTCCTCTGGTACTGCAAAGTGTGAAACCCGTCCCGGTGGAGGGGAAGCTGCTTCTCAAATTGGTCCAAAAGGTTGGCAGGAATACGGTTGATCTTGGGGTTCCCGTGAGACATGGCGCAGTCGTCTCTGGAGTCGTAATGTGAGCTGTAGTGCATCCTGGGGAAAGTGCTACTTGACATGTGATCGCCCATTACCATGGGCATCATCATGCACTCAGAATGGATGGAGCTGCGTGGCGAGCAACGGTGGTGGTCCAGTGGGCAACTCTCCGTGGGGCTGAGAAGATACGACTGCCGTGGCTCCTGCCCATGGTGGATATGGTCGAGGGTGTGTTCACAATCTTCAGGGGATGCTAAGCCACAAGTATGAGCTGAACATAACTGTGGTTGATTGCGACTACCAGATAATCCTTTCATATTCCTCGGAGCAGGAGAGTATCTTTCTTCATTGAAGTGCTGAGAAGGCGACCATGAGTACTGCTGGTCTGTCATGAGAACACATAAAACCTGTGTTATGTGTCTGGTTAAAGTATCAACTTGCAAAATCCAAGTATATCGCAAGACTAAACATTTCTTCTCTATGAGCTTGATGGAAAGTCTCACCATTCAGGAAATGTCATTCACCATTTTAAAACTGGTCAAAATTGTTCACTGGGAGCAAATTATGGGGTGAGTGCAGCCTCCTTCCTGCTCGCAAAATTGTCTGCTAGCAGTTCTAAGTGTTATGCAGCTACTAATCGTGTAAACTTACTCAAATTTAATGGACACATCCAAGTATTAAGTTTATTATTTGACATTGAGCATTCATGTCTCAAGCTTCACGGCTAGTCACTAAGTTACATGGGTCTGGGCTCTATTTGGGTGGTTTCACTGCTGGATATCTTAACTTAAATGTATCCTTTCTCCATGGAGCCATTTTTGTCTCACAAACTTCATTTTCTTACACGAATCTCAGCTTCAGGATCCCAAGTTCACTCTTCATAAATATAAACAATAACCAGCAAAGAGAAAAAGAACATGAACAAGCTGAAATGAAGCTCAAGTTTTACATCACTAAGCAGTTTATGAATAAGCATTTCATACCACTTGAACATCCATTATCCAAAGTATTATTGTATTCCCATACACGGAAAGTCTTCTGTACCAGGCAGTTTTTCCCTTTCCATGTCCAAACTACAAAATATTTACTTAACTACTCTATGTTATTCCTGATAAACCAAATCTCTTCAGGTACAAGCTGTGGGTTTTTATACACTCAATGATTTGTCCCTATGAATCATGTGCTCCATGTTGTGGTTATTAAACAAGCATGACTGCAAAATAAGAGCAGCTTGTAAGCAAAGATTTGATACTTAAGCCTCTGATTTTTTTTCCCTCCCATGCAATTTCTTGCAGCTGTCAAATGCTACAAAGAGAAAATTAAAAAAATATCAACCCACCAGAAATACTTCAATTTGATTTTCTCATTCACTTTCCCTCTTCAATTTCAGCTTATTTAAGCCACATTTCAAAGGCAGACAAAGATATAGGATGCAAGACAATCCCTCAGAGGATCAGACAGATGTGTTAAGTGTTTACAGAATCCACTTAGCACAGGTCTCCTGCAAATTTGCTCTAGAGAATCTAAATACTCTCACACAGGTGCTTGGTACAGGGAAGCTGAAGGCCTTGACCAGAATGGAAGGCAGAGAACATGTGCTGGACATGGGAAAACAGCCTGGAGAGACAGCACAAGAACTCTGTAAGCCTGTGACAAAGCTCTCCTGACTCACATCCCCAAGGCTGGTGAGAACTCAGTGCCTGATACGGCCACGAGACAGATCAGTACCCATAGCTGTGTAATTGTATTCAACTAACACGTGTAGGAGCGTGATACCTTCGGTACCAAAGGCAATTTGTGGCAGGTCTTTAGCATCAGCAACCTCATAACCTGAGTGCTCTGTATTTCAGACTGGGAAAGATGCTTAGATAAGGTTTATTACACCCTAATCTCAACCCAGCTCCACACAGTGTTTGGAAATGAATGTGGCACTAAACTGATGAACAGCAGAGTGTTCTCCAGCCCCGGCACAATCCTGTCACACTGAAGTCAGAGATAGATTGAGGGGTCTGAATATACATCCACGTTTATCATGGCATGAAACTGATGGAGCTGTGCATATATCCTTTACCCCTTCATTTTTTTTTCATGCCACTTTCTTTTACTTAATTCTTGGCTATTTTCCCATTAAAAAAACCTTATTACTCAGCCTGTTGTACTCTGCAGGTTATAATACCTTGCACAAATGTGGTTACAGCACGGAAATACAATTGTTTCCCTGAAATGACGCAGTGTTCATTACCCAATTAAGAGCACAGACAAGGGAGTAAATTAGAGCAGTGCATTGGAACTCAGCCATACAGGCAGTCCTGTAATTAGTGGTGCTCAACCCAGGAGACTGCCAAACATTATCAGGGGAAAAATAACAGACCATGTGTTGAACTTACCTAGTCTGTACTTCCCATAAGGTTCCCAAAGCACCTGACAGAGACTAATGTATTAGTTCTTACAGTCCCATGAGATTAGATAGATGGAAGAAGTTGTTTTACAATGGGGGTGGGAAAACACTGGAAGAGGCTGATCTAGTTGAAGATGTCCCTGCCCATTGCAGGGAGGTTAGACCAGATGACACCAACTCTTGGAACGTGGTGGCTGCCCCAACCCTGGCAGTGTTCACAGCCAGGTTGGATGAGCCTTGAGCAACCTGCTCTGCTGGGAGGTGTCCCTGCCCAGGGCAGGGCTTGGGGCTGGGTGATCTATCTGTAAGGTCCATTCCAACCCCTAAAATCCTGTGATTCTATGATGATTCTACGATTCTATGTGAAAGGCACAGAAAAGGAAATTGGAATACAGGCAACCTAGTCCGAAGTGCTTATGGATTTCCCGGTTTAAATACTCCTAGGGACGAGCCAGAGGGAGGTGAAAGAAGGTTCTTCTGCCAAACTGCGAGCATGATGAGACTCAACCCCAAGCCCTTCAGTCATAGCCTTGCACATCCATGAATGGAGGAAACTTGCACTATGCCTCACCGGTTCGTTTAGACACCAAGAAGGAAGGGCATGGCAGAGATCCAGACTGAAAGAAAGAGCTAAGTTCCCCAGCACAGAATTGCTAGTCCCTGGGGATTTCTTTAGGCCTCATGCAGCATCAAACATAGCCCAGAAGGCTTTGAACATTTGCATCCTGTTACATACCTAGAGTATGAGACACGATGATTTGATTGCAGTGCAATGGATAATCTAACAACAGCTTTTCCATAACTCTCTCTGATTCTAGCTCAGGGCAGAAATACAGAAAATACAGAAATACAGAAAATACAATCTTCTGCACGTTGCTTTCACAGCCTTATAGAGCTTTATATGCCTCATGGAATGTCTGAGTTTCATTGTTTGAAACACAGGAGCTAGAAACTGTTACAGTCACTTCATAACCTTAATCAAAATTACTAAACCCGAATTAAGAACAGGGAAGTCTCCCAAAGTAATTGTTGCCTCTTAAATCTGTCAGAAAGAGTAACTAAAACTAGATAAACTCCCAAACTGCTTACACGTGTATCATCTAAATTTATCGGTCCAGTTAGGTTGGAACTCTGCTTAGAGCATCAAGCCTGTGCTGTGCTCTAGACACCATTGCTTTGCCTTAAAAATCTTTGAATAATCTTCAGAGCTTTGAACTACATAAATTTAGCAAGCCATTTGTGCCTTGTTTGGAGGTCTGTCGGAGGGCTGGGAGCAGCACTTGAGCTGTGGCTGAGGGAACGGCTGTGTGGTACCAGCCCAGCCTAACTGCCCATGTGCCAACTCTTAGCTTGCCAGAAATGCACAGAAAAATGTGCTGGCTTCAAATTCAATTAAGCTCACATGCTTTTCAAGCCTTTGCTAGTGGCTAAAAGCCTGTGCACAGCTCAGCTGGTACAGAGTGGTGCGGACGGTGCTGGTCACTCGTGGTGTTCCCCAGGGGTCAGTGCTTTAACATCTTTGCTGATGATTTGCAGATTAAATTAAGTGCACCATCAGCAAGTCTGCAGATGACACAAAGCTACAGTGATAATGTTTTTTCCTCAATCTTTTAAAAAGGAATTTTATCTTTTGGTATAAAATATATTTAAATATACATAAATAAAATACATTTATCCAGATTTGACAGAAAATTTAGTGTAGATCTTGAAGATAATGATACTTAGAATAAAATACAAGCTTTTTTCCCCCCCAGCCAGCAAGTCTGCAGATGACACAAAGCTACAGTGATAATGTTTTTTCCTCAATCTTTTAAAAAGGAATTTTATCTTTTGGTATAAAATATATTTAAATATACATAAATAAAATACATTTATCCAGATTTGACAGAAAATTTAGTGTAGATCTTGAAGATAATGATACTTAGAATAAAATACAAGCTTTTTTCCCCCCCAGCAGCTCCTGTGTTTGCTATGGATAATCAGCCTAAAAATATAGAAGTGCCACTGTCAGAGCCAAGAGCTGAAGAGAGGCAGGAGCACAAATAAACACAACCCAAAGCAGACAAAGAGATAAAGGAACAGGAACAGAGAAAAATCTATGTCAGCATAGGAATTACTTTTTTTCAGCTTCATCAGAGCAAAGTGGAATCTTTCAACTGACTTCAGTGGAGAGTCAGATAACGCCCAGAGTCTGGGGGCAGGGGGTGGGCAGAGACCAAGACACTGGCTGTTCTGTCAGGGAGAATCCAGTAATTCCACCCCCTGAAAATCCCTTAAAGCTCCTCTTTTTCAGAGACTATTGTACAGACAGAAGTCAACCTTTAACCTTGACAGATGGAAGGATTTCTGCATCCCTTCCTGGCTATTGCAACCCTTGCCCTGCTACGCTGTGTCCTGTCCCACATTTCCCCTCCTTTTTCAGTTCTGGATGCTGAGAGAGTTGCTCTCCAGCTCTAAGCAGAGGTTGGTTTCCTGTCTCCAGGGACTGGGCACAACTGTTAGAGCACTCAAGCTTCTTCCTGTGCCAGTCAGTACCAAGGAGAGAAAGAGGATCAAAAATGTTGCTGGAAATAATGACCAGTGCTTAACCCAGTAAAACCAGTACTGCAATGCACTGTGGAAAAAATACGCTCACAGTCTAACCTGTAACTAATACAAAAAAAAATAATTGGAAAGACAGGTATATTAATAAGTAGATACTAAACATTAAAATGGATAAATAAAATGGTTTAGCTGGAAATGTGTCTGTCCAAGGACTGCATTAAGTAGTAGTAGATGAGCACTGTCTTCTCACGAACTTGTTACACTATTTTTCTCGGTTCAATTGTAACATTTTGTTCTCACGGCCCAAAGGCCATTGAGGCACTGAGCGAGTCCAGCCAAGGGCAACGAGGGCAGCAAAGGGCAGAGCACATGGGCAAGGGCTGAGGGAGTTGGGTTGGTCAGCCTGGAGAAGAGGCTCAGGGGTGACCTCCTGGCTCTCTGCA